ATTAAACAAGCATTCATCAATAAAGAAACGTTTCGTCTAAAAGTATGTATTACCTTTCACATTCTCTCAAAATAAAAACGTGAATGTGCTCGTGTTGAAAATTGATTCAGGGTAACAGAACAATGCCCAAGAAGGAGATGTCTTACTTATTCTAGATACGATTAAAAAACACGGACACCCTAAAACATACATTTGAACAAAATGAAAGATATGTCTTAATCAATGTCAAAACATCTTTCGACAAACACTTTTTAATTATTGTACACGTAATGAACAGAGTGGTATTTCTATAGTATAAAGTTACTTCTATTCGTAAGTAATGATCAAACAAACAAAGGAAGAACAAAAAGAAAAGAATTTAAACCGCAAACATTTTAACCAACAATAAACAAATAAAAACTTATATTTTTAACAATGCAATGCTGATGAAAATCTAGTAAGTTGGGTAAAAAGACAATGGCTTTACACGGATGCTCCACCAATCTATACGTGTATTTATGTTAAAATTTATTACTTTTTTGCCATAAGTACTTGACTCATTTAAGTGGCCAATTACAGGTGGTGTATTATTAGTTATATTTCTTGCTGATGTGATACGAATAACGATACTCGAGGCCAAAAAATATGAACAAATAACATTTCACAAATTTTCTTGAAAATTATACAGTGAAATATTATATGTATGTTATCAATTATAAAAAGCACGTTATTAAAAAACTTTTGCTATCAATAAGTTATCAAAAAATATTTTGTTCAAAAATAAATCAGATCCGTAAGCAAGGTTGTGACAAAGCTGTCTTAAATAATTTGACCTTAACGGTCAGTGTCATTTAAAAGTAAAGGTCGTTTTCAAAATATTCAACACGTCAGTTTGTCCTTTGTGTTCTTCTATGATTAAATGATAAAATATGACAATTTAAGCAGATTTCAATAATTTGACATTTAATGTCATTGAAAGGCCAAGGTCATATTTGAATTATTCAACGTCTTTATTATCTCGTGGCCACGACTTAGTAACCCGTAACCACGAAAAAGTATCTCGTGCGCACCACTTAATCATCTCGTGGCCACGACTTAGTAACTCGTGGCTACAACAAAGTATCTCGTGTGCACGAGATAAAAAATAAAAACGCACATATGTCCTCTGTGTCACCGTAAGTTTCCGACTTTTATCGATGTTTGTTGACGATTTTCGGGAGTAACCCTAGTGGCATTATCTATGGAACATACAAATGAGCCGAATGCCTGTGAAATAATGTACTTACATTTACCACGAACTAATTTGTTAAACTTCCCATGTCTTTTCTCGTGTAGGTTTCCACATTTCTTGTAGTCTGCTAAGTCCCTCAAATTTGATGCTCCTGACACAATGTAATTATTTATATTTAGATTTCACAAAGTACTGACTGATGATCAATTAAACAAAAAATGTGATTTTTTTTGTATTTGGTTTTATTGTCTCTGTAATCTTTGCTTTAAACATTTTACAATGATTCTAGTGGAGGTATATTTTATTTTCATATCCTGTCAATCACATTTGTAGTACGGAAGAGCATTAGTGCCAGGTGTATGTTTTTTATTAACTCGAAATTTCGAGTTAGTAACTCGAAATTTCGACATACTTATCTCGAAATTTCGAGTTAGTAACTCGAAATTTCGAGTTATTAACTCGAAATTTCGACTTATTAACTCGAAATTTCGAGTTACAAACTCGAAATTTCGACTTACTAACTCGAAATTTCGACTTATTAACTCGAAATTTCGAGTTACTTACCTCGAAATTTCGACTTAGTAATTCGAAATTTCGACTTAGTAACTCGAAATTTCGACTTAGTAACTCGAAATTTCGACTTAGTAACTCGAAATTTCGACTTACTAACTAGAAATTTCGAGTTACTTATCTCGAAATTTCGACTTAGTAATTCGAAATTTCGACTTATTAACATTACAAGAATGGCCAAAGTTATTAGTTAGATGGTATAAGATATAGTAGGCAGTGGACAAAAACTATTGAAATTTAACTAAAACTTAGTAATGGCATGTACACACCCGACCTAAAAAAAACAAGGCTTTCTTTAATTTGTACGTTCAGGCGTTCTTCAGACGTTGTATTGTATCCCATCTGTTCGAACATATCTTTTCACTAATCATATTCTTCTCATCCCTGTAAAAAAAAACGATCCTATACTTCACGTGTAAAGTATCGCGGCGTGGCCAAAATAGGGCGTGCTGAGGCCTTTGTCAAAATTGTTGGACTGACTATATTTCTTGTAAAATCGGATGCTTTTATATTATTCCCAACATATATATAACAACAAGTATCACTTTTATCAACTTTTATCAACACAATATCAAAGTATTAGTAAATAATGAATAATGTTACAAAAACATTATTAGTATAAAGAAACGTGACAGACTAACTGGCGCGCGTATACACGCCATTTAAAACTTATTTAACACATGATATTGCACAGTTTACAATAGGGTGGGTTTTGGACTTGTTGTTTCTCCACATGATGGTTGTATGTGTGCTTAAGAAAAAGAAACACCCGGTTAACACAGAAATGTGGAAAGTGTGATTTTACAACCCCCCCCCCCTCCACAAAAAAGCGAAAGATATGTTCAGTATGTGTGGACAATTTGACCCTATAAAATTGTTCTGTTAATAAATGTTAAAGGTGCTCTGTCAATGTGCAACAGCTACACACGAAACAAAGTATCTTGAATTCAATCCTTGCTTTCACCGGCAACCAATGAAAGTCGTGCAATGTAAGTCGAAATTTCGAGTTAGTAAGTCGAAATTTCGAGTTAGTAACTCGAAATTTCGAGATAAGTAACTCGAAATTTCGATTTGTAACTCGAAATTTCGAGTTAATAAGTCGAAATTTCGAGATAGTAACTCGAAATTTCGAGATTAGTAACTCGAAATTTCGAGTTAATAAGTCGAAATTTCGAGTTACTAACTCGAAATTTCGAGATAAGTAACTCGAAATTTCGAGTTACTAACTCGAAATTTCGAGTTAATAAAAAAACATACACCTGGCACTAATGCTTTTCCGTACATTTGAAACATATACATCATGTATAAAACATAGCCATTCTACAAATTTACAAATTAACATATTCTAAAGGTGACTATAAGATTTAACTTACTACGAATAAATAATAGTCTACAGAGTATATGTACTTACCTACATCGTGTAAGGCCATAGGCAAAGATTTAATTTTAGTTCATTTTTTTCGTAGCTGGTTACACCATTTCAACGACTCTTATATACCATTGTTTTAAATCTGACGTGATAAGTATGGAGTAAAGGTTATTATAGATAGAGGCACATTATACCTTAGATACGATATTCTTTTATTTCTTTATAATGAGCAAACATGAGTTATTAAATGATTGTCTTTTGGTATTAAAGCATATATAATATATGCTTATCACCTGCAGAAAGTATTCATGTGAATGTAAAATTGTTTGACTTAAACGTAGCAAAATGTAAACAAATTAGTATAATTTTAACTTTCACATTAGATACTATTGTTGAAGAGCAAAAGAAGCAGAAATAGTTCCAGGTAATTTAAATAAAAACTGAAATTGCTTCGATCATTGTTTGTTTGTTTTTTAATGATTTTATCTTTTTTTGCAGACTGTAAGAACTTAAACATTTATTCGATCATTACGTACCTATATTTAATTGTTACAATATATGACAGAATTGAAATATTACATCTGAAACTATTAAAAATAATTTGATAGATTTTTTAAGTTCATCAACAAAGAAAAATAGAACACAAGTATTTAAATGCCCTAATATAATTATAATTGTCAATTTGGTTATGTTTAATTTCATTTAGACTTACAAGCACCGCATATCCAAAAAGAAACAAGGATTTCTAAAATTTCCATTCTGACAGGTAAATATATTTATATACGTAAATGTACGTGAAAATAGTAATAAAAGAAAACAAAAGACAAGGAAAATAAATAAGTTTACCCTGTTTTGTAATACGTTAAGTTTTTGAATGAAAACCAAATGATACTTACGTGTATAATGAAAATAAATGTAAACACATATCTCAAAGGCTGGTGTTTCCCATCTTTAGAAATGTCAAACATGAAGTTTTACAACGGTTCGGTAATGGTTTTAGAGCACGCCAGATGCTTTTTACATGAAGAAAGTAGCGCTGAATGTATAAGTGTGAGTCATAAAAGTAATAAAATGTAAACAAAGCATTATTTCGACTTCTGAACAAAGTGCAAAAAAAAAGCAACAGAAGCAACAGATGGGTGGGATAATTGGCCAATTAGTAACATTTCGGAAACAGTAAGTGGACAACAAAATAACATGCTTGTGAGAAATAGAAATATAAGCATTGCTTGAGTTTAAATTAAACGTCTTTTTATTTATTATTGCATGGATTGATCTGCACCTCTCTCAAAATCGACGTCAATTTTTATTAATTTTATAGAGCTTAAAACAATTTCAGGGATAATTAATTCAATCACAGTGCCCATTCATTCATTGAAAACAAATACAGGGATTATGCAAAATTCAATACATACACTGAATTTATTTGGGCATATACCAATTAAAAAGGTTTCTCCCTTCAGTGCAATATTGGTTTATGAATATAAAAAAAATGACACAAGCACGGTACAGAATATAGCCCAGACATCTGAAGAAAAGATAACAAATTTTCAGCAATGCCAAGAGAAATATATCAAAGCTACAGAGTGAACTTAGTGTATTATCACAATAACAACATAAACTTGTAATGGTTGAACTACATGGACAAGTAAGTACACATGCCAGAGACTTTTATATAAAGCTCCTTGCACACAAAAAGAAGAAAATAAAAATAAAATCGTGGTACAAGAACAGAAAATTCTATGCTTTATCGTCGTTTTCTCGTCATAAAGTGTCCCTGTTTGATTAAAGTGTTTGCATGTTGACAGGTAAAGACGGTGCATAGGAGCATTTGTTTTTATCACTTGTACACGTGTTTACTTCAACGTGCACATGTAATAACTTTTATGGTTCGCCCGTGATAAGTAAAATATGTCCAATGTACCCTCTGAGAGTAGGACTTAACTTCATTAAGATTTGATATAGTACATTATCTTAAAGGTAGCAATAATAAATGATTTTGTTTTATATAAATAGCTTGTATAATACACACATATACATGTACAAACCGAAGAACGAGAATAGCAAAACGTGATCAATCAATCAATCAATCAATCAATCAATCAATCAACCAACCAACCAACCAACCAACCAGCCAGCCAGTCAATCAACCAACCAGCATATATTTACTATTTGTTCAGCAACTCTCCAAAAGTTATTAAATGGAGACCCAAACATTAGTGATGATGCAAACAGAAGACTGTTTGAAGCCGTTCATACATACATCCGAGAAAGCAGGAGATTCACTTAAGCATATTCACATCAGCTCAAATCACTAAATACTTCCCATTTAAATCGTCGAACTATCCGAATGATCCACATTTCATTTATTTCTTCTTCTTTTCTATTTTGCTGAAAGTTTCTTTCTTCATTTCTTTCTATCTTAATTTACGTTATTTCTCTTTCATTTTATATAACAACGAAAATGATGCAGTCTGGTATTCTGATTCCATTTTTTGTATATATTTTTGCTTTATATTATAACTAAACGTTAGAAACAATTTTGACGTTAACTTCTTAAAAACAATGTAAAATCAGATATATTTCAAGCAAGTCACATATACTGTCATACCGTATTTTATGCATTGTAAATCTATAAGGAGAAGGCCTTTATAAGCTCAGCTTTCGGACCCAATCCTTTTTCAACATATCATGTTTGTATTGTGTACATTATTGTCTGTATATATATTGTGAATTTGTTCGAAATAAACTATGTTTAAACTAACCAACCAGCTAACTAACTAACTAACTAACTAACTAACTAACTAACTAACTAACCACTTAACCACTCAATCAATTAATAGAAGAAATGGAATTTATTCGTGTCTGTACGGTATGTTACGGTATTACGGAATACCTCGAATATTAACGTTCAGTACAATTTCGTCCAAGATACTGTAAATGAACTGGGGAAAATAAACATGTATACTAAATGGTGATATTTGAAAGCATTCCACAGGGAACTTAAAATATGACTAACAAAGAACAACAAGATGTAAGAAATAAAATGGGTTAATTTGGTGTTGATACTGGCTTTTAAATTGTCTTGAATCTATTTTCAAACAGTGCATTACTCAGGGCCAAACACCATTTTTGGGGAAGAGGCCAGGCTCAGCCTTTTTCTTGGGGAAAAATATGCTAGATGTTGGCATACTTTGGGAAAATGAAGTCTCAAATTTAACACAAACTTTTAACAAGTTATTAAAAATACATACATATTGATCTTGACAGTATTTTAGTAATTGTCCCGGCTGTCGGATCTATTTTAGAAATTTTACTTTTATGATTATACAGCCATTCTCCTATAATTGAAGCACTTTTTAATAATTCCTGTCTCCACTTTTCAAATCGTAGTAAAATGTACAGACGAGCTTAATCATTTGTGACAAACATTGAAATAAGTACACTGGGATGTTCTCAGCAGCTTAACTTAATTTTGTAGCGTAGAAGCTCCTCGTTTTTCATTTATGTTAAACTGAAAAGCTATAGTATCTGCAAAAAATAGCTGTCGCTTGACCAATTAACGTTTAAGATTGGTGAAAAAAATAATCCATTTCCATGTTTTCCAACAAGTTTTTGCCTAAAATCAATACAGTATTGATAATAGATTCAGAATAACATAAGAAGTTCGAGAAAGAGACCCTTATTTTCCATGATTTTCTTTAAATGTTGCTGTCGCCGAAATGCAACTATGGTACCGTAACGATTTTAAACTGGAATGAAATGATCTTGAGATGTGTTATATTCTTTCAAATTTGTACCCAAAACAATATCAAAAGACTATATTTGGAATAAAATTGATAAATTAGACTCCTGCGATGATACATTTTAACTCAAACCGTTTTTTTGCAAATAATTCAAATGTCGCGTTTAAAATGCTATGCCTCCGTAACGGGTGTATACTTTTAAATATACAATATACCAATCAAATAAAAAATTTGAAATATTGTTTTGTATTTCTTTAAATGAAAAACACCAAAATGAGATGTCGTTTGCACAAAAATGTGATAACTCTGACCCGTAGAAGTCTAATTTCACTATGTTTCCATAACGACTATTTTCCGTAACAAAACGATCATCCGAATTTCGGTACAGTATACGGTTCAACTGACGGTGTGACATTTTTGCCTATCACCGCTCCCAATGATACGTCACTAAGAGGTATGAATGCAACATCTTAATTGACTTTTATGATACAATTGGGCAAATGGAGGTAATTGGCAGTCACTGTACTTTATTTTGGCAACCAGTGGTTTTGATTTGATAACGATATTTTCACAATTATGTTACTTACATGAGAAATTTTACTGATTAAAATCGATTGCAAGCTCTATTTTCAGCAAACCACAGAGTCAAAAGTAGCAAGTTGATGCTATTTAATTTTTTTTACCTGTTTAAAAGATTTGTTACGGAACATAGTTAATTATTTTGAGATCATAATCTGATGTCATATATGTACTTTATCCATAGTTATTTAACAATTTGAAATGAATGATTGGTTTCAAACATGGAACACATATTTCGATGAAAAATAAGTGCACAGTTTATCAAATAGTCAAAGACAATTTGTTACGGAAGCATAGTCTTCTATCAACTTTTTTCAGCACCATAATACTTATATTCAGTTTGTTTATAAAAACTGTTCCAGTGAGTTTTTTCATTATAAAGATATATGAAAATGGTGTCCAATATTAACTGGAAGTCTAACATGATTTGTATTGTGTTGTAAGGTTGCAGCTTTCTGTTAGGGAACATATCAAATTTGTTACGGAACATAGCATTCATAAATGCTATGCTTTAATTTTTATCTATTTATAAAATACCAAAATTGTATCATTATGTCACTTACATTATCTAAAAGTTTTAGATTTTACAATTATCATGGAAAAGTAATATTAATAATGATATAAATATAATGATAAAAATGATGATTATTATGTAATTGTTATATTGATAATCATGATAAAAATAATATTTTAATGATGATCATGTATCAAGGTTAATAAATTTATAATATGCAACGATTTTCTTGTGTAGAATGGTGCTTTTAAATACAGAAATACAAAAGACAAAAGCAGAGAGGGGAAAACAACAAATCATTCAAAAGAGAAAGAAAGGAGAAAAAAGTATGTTCCCATTCAAAAAAGAAAAAGCACTGGTGAAGAAAATGTAGAGAGAACTACATGAAACATTATAACATTACAACAAATTTGTGTAAATTAGGCAGAAATAAAGCAAATAAAAGTGAAGAAAAAAAAATTCTTGTTCATTTTCAGTGAAAAACATAATATTTTATTTTCCATAACATATGTTCCGTAACATATATCTTTTCCTGCACTACTCACTAAATTAAACTGTTGATGTTATTTTTAATTGATACAGTGTTTTATGATTATTGTTGTTTGTGAAGATACCACATTTAAATTGTTAAAGTAATTTTAAAGAGTAAAAATATTGAGTTATAAATCCTATGTTTTATAATTTTTCACCTATGTTCCGTAACAGATCATAAGGACTGTTTGATGAACATTTGTGCAGCGAAGTTTTTTTGGGAACGTTACACCGATTAAAAGTTATGTTTGATTTGTTTTCTGCTTCTGTTTTAGATATAATTCGATAACTTTTATGACAGTATTTGTTTGTGCATTGTATCGAAATAATGTCAATCTTTAGTTACGAAAATGTTTGCTTATACAAGCTTTTCAAATACGAAGTATACAAGTTTCAGAATAAGATATGACATGAAATATTTTTGCTTAAGGTAACCATTGGTCTTCAACTTTACAATGCATATTCTTTCGGATTGTTTAATTTAAAATGTTAGTTAAACAATAATTCCAAAGTAATTCCTATGGTATATATATGTTCCGTAACAATGTAATTCAGTAACTCACTTCAAACGCTTTCAGTATACAAACGGAGCGAATGGTGTGTGTTAAACTTCCACACAATCTGTCCAAGGTATTGAACATTAAAAGCAAATCATAGAAAACGTTGTTTATGAAAGTCAGATTTTTCATTTTTTGTGAACCAAAAGTGCTTCAATTATGGGAGAATGGCTGTATAGCCTATAGGCACAGGAACTTTAACGCCAATTAAATGAATTTATCACTGCTCTTCTCCCATCGTCGGTTCCATTGCCAGTTCAAGCGATAAACTTCGTCATACCGTTATTGACCGGTCTTTGTATATCCTGAAATTCTATCCAAAACAAAAAAAAGAAAGATTTAAATAAAAATCCCATATATTGTACACTACTTATATATATATATGGGATTTTTATTTAAATCATTTTTTTTTTGTTTTGGATAGAATTTCGGGGTCTACAAAGACCGGTCAATAACGGTATGACGAAGTTTATCGCTTGAACTGGCAATGGAACCGACGATGGGAGAAGAGCAGTGATAAATTCATTTAATTGGCGTAAAAGTTGGATAGTTGGTAAGAGTAAGTTGTGTTTCTGATAGATTTTAATATGCTTTATTGATTTAGTGTCAGGCGTTTTTACGAATATTCCTTGTAAATGTGGCGACGGGTGGGGAAATGTTGTTGCCTTCCTTGTGTTTTTTATAGTATATATATGGGATTTTTTTTTAATCGTTATTTTTTTTGTTTTGGATAGAATTTTGGGTTCCTGTGTTATAGGCTTTTGGACCTCAGTGAAGTTCCTAACCTTTAACACATTAAGTTTTTCCACCTAAGTGCTTTAGAAATAAAAAAATTACTTACTGGTTCCCTAGCAATTTTTAGGCTCCTAGCAGTTTTCAGGCCCCTTATCAGTTGCTTCCAGTAGCCCGGGGTTCTATGATATCATGGTACTTAATGTTTATCAGAAAATATTTTTATATAATTTAAAAGTAATACATGATTTTTTTTCTATTAAAAAAGAGAACTTTTTCCAAAACTGTTGCCAAAAACTTTTTTTTTAAAAGTCAATGTTGTGAATATCTGATTTAAATTGGGCGAAAAAGAGTTTTATTTGGAATTAGGAATGGAGGTTTCTTTTGGTGTTGATAGTGTGAAAATGACATTTATAAACTTTGCACTAGAGATTGAGAAGTAAGCTGGTCATTATCATTTTGGCATTCTGCAATTTAAATATGATGAAATGAGATTGCAATGTTTCAAAATGCGATAACATTGAAAGGTTGCAAACAAATTCTTGCGTATGCTTTTGTTAAGAGGGAATATTATTTTTTTACAGGAAGAACTTGAAGTCTTGCAGTCAATTTATGATGGTGATGAAAATTTCAAAAAGACTGGAGACTCAACATTCCAGTACAAGGTACAGTGTATACTAATAAAGTATGTTGTATTCACATTTTAAGAAGCAGTTTAATCTTCTCTGTTGCACAGGCAGTTGTGTGTGGCTTGGATAGTATACATGTACATGATCAAACCCACTTATTTTCATAAAAAAAAATTTGGGAGTAATAAAATATTTTTTTCAGTACTTTTAATTATAGTATATTTATAGTATATATATGGATGAAATTTTTAAAACAACTTTCCTTTGTTGTTTTATTGAAATTAAGATATTTTAAAAAACATTTTGAGTGAAAAAAATATGTTATTAGTGAAAAAAATTTTTTTTATAAAAATAAGTAGGTGTGGTCATGTACATGTATACTATCCAAGCCACGCACCAACTGCTTGTGCTCTGTTGAATTGTGCAAATGATATGTTATGCTGCAGTGTTTTTTTAATCTTACTGTCCTTATTGATCAATGGACACATTCATTGATATATCATAAAATTAGCATGCAATGAATGCAAACATGAAAGCTTGTAATTGATTGTAATGTAAGTGAGTGATATTTCTGTTGCAGTATGGTGAACACAATAGCTATAAATCACTCGTTGTGGAGATAACATGGGGAGAAAGTTACCCAGAATCCCCACCAACAATAAACATGGATACATTCTACAACAAACATGTGTAAGTATAAGTCTTTCCATTGTCCATAAACATAGATACCTTTTACAACAAATATTTGAAAGTATAAGTCTTTCCTTTGTCCATAGATAGATATTTCTAAATTCTCCAACAGTTCCAGTAAGAATTACATGTATTGATCTCAATAACTTTTGATAATGAAGACTGATTACAGTTTTAATTTTCCCATTGAAGAATTGTAAGAAATACACTTAGTTTTAGATTGAAAAGAAATTGATCCATGTGTAATGTAAACAAATTAAAGACATTGTCTGTTAGTCTTGTAAAATGTTATATAATGTGTGTTTTCTCCCATCATATAAAAGATAATGAATATTTTACCATCTTTTCTACAGTGTACCTAGTGTAAAGGAAAAAATATTACAAGGACTTTTAGAACAGGTAAATATTTTATGCCAGTGACATTTGTTTCTAAAAATAGCAGATCAGGAAATGAATCATCTGCTTTACTTATTTTCATATAGAGAGCGGAGCGGTAGATTAGGTATCAAGAGGTTTCTTATTGTTTATGTATTTTATTGATGGCAGTTTACATTTTCCATCTTAATTCTTTTGATTTGACAATTATATCAAATGATGTACTAAAAATAACTTATTTAACATTTAGAAAAGCTGATGGCCACTTTAATTACTGATGCACAGATAAGCTGTCTGTTGGACAAAATTTTATTGCTCAATAGTTCATTTGTAATGTAGTAGCTATACATCACCATTGTGTGCAGTGTCATCCACCGATGAATACCATAGTGAGATAGTACTGGGTAACTGTCAATGAAAATGTCAGTTAATATTGGAGTAAATGACCTGATAAGCCTGTCACTTATGATCCCCTTTATGCTTACCTATTTTGCTGAAAACTTTTTATTTTCTGAATAGAGTAAATTTTTTGTGAAGTATTTAAATTAACAAACTGAAATAAATTAATTTCTGCAATTGAAGAAAATATTGTTTTGATGGATATTTTACCTTAAATACATGTACAACTTAATGTGAACCAGGCTTGTGTAGCATTCAATTTAAGCAAACTGCTAGCTTTTTATGTGATTGTATGATTTTACCAAAGTTATGATAAGCAGTTCAAGAACAGTTAACTTATCCCTTATAGTATAAAAGTACTTGAATTTCATACTAGATATACATAGATTCAAGTGTTTAAAATGTATTATGACATAGATGCATTTGTTATGTAGCATATTGAATGTAATTATAGCAAAATAGAGTAATACCTATTTGATGTGACCATATATAATATTTGAATGAATTTAATGAATTGTACTTAAATGAAGCTACTGTATATGTTCTCTCAATTTTTCATACAATATAGGTTGAAGATTTGTTGGAAACAGCAATGACATATACATTATTTGAATGGGTGAAGGAGAATTATGATGATTTAATGGCAGATCAGCCAGATGCACCTATTGTTAATACAAAGGTAAATTTTTATTCTTCATTACTATTTTTGTTTCAGGACAAAATAGGTACATGATTAAGAAATTTATAAATTTATTTTCATAATGTTTGGGTACTGTAACCAGGACTTAAAAATACTTGTGTCTTCTATTAATGGTACTTTTTCTTCACTTGTCTACAGTACCTGTACTTGTGTTGTCTGTCTCAAGAATTTACAGTACTGGTACTTGTGTTGTCTGTCTCAAGAAATTTCAGTACCTACATTTGTGTTGTCTGTCTCAAGAATTTACAGTACCTGTACTTGTGTTGTCTGTCTCAAGAATTTACAGTACTGGTTCTTGTGTTGTCTGTCTCAAGAACTTACAGTACCTGTACTTATGTTGTCTGTCTCAAGAAATTTCAGTACCTACATTTGTGTTGTCTTTTTCAAGAACTTACAGTACCTGTTCTTGTGTTGTCTGTCTCAAGAACTGACAGTACTTACACTTGTGTTGTTTGTCTCAAGAACTTAAAGTGCCCATACTTTTGTTGTCTGTCTCAAGAACTTACAGTACCTGTACTTGTGTTGTCTGTAGTACCTGTACTTGTGTTGTCTGGGCCATCCTTAAAAAAATGTTTGTTTGCAGTAACGCGACCGACTCACAAAATTTGCCCCTACTCAAATGTTTTTTCATGGTCTGGATAAAAAAATTATTTTTTTTTAATCAGAAAATTATGCCCTGTGCTTTGTTTTCGTTCTTTTAAAGGTTAATAGAAGAAATAAAATGTAGTTCTTATTAAATTAGAATTCTGTTATCAATTTATTAATTGTTACCAGATTATTAAAGAATATATTGTCCAGTATTTTGAAATTCCATGTTTATTTGGGAGTACAGTTCAATAAAAATATAAAAAAAAAAAAAAAAAAAAATCGACCTACCTACCCACCTTGAAAATTCTGGTTCGGGTTACTGCAAACAAACATTTTTTTTAAGGATGGCCCTGTCTCAAGAACTTACAGTACCTGTACTTGTGTTGTCTGTCTCAAGAATTTACTGTACCAGTTCTTGTATCATAATGAATCAATCTTGTGTGGAAAATAGTCGTGACCCAAGAAGGGTTACTATTCCGTGACTGTGAGGAAGTCATCATAACAAAAATAATGCAGCATACAAATTGCATGATGTACTAGATATGCTAGCAGTTCATTCTTTTTAACTTCATTATTATGTTTGCTTTTGCAAATGTTGTTTACATGAGGACATTTGTTTAATTTTATAATGGTATAACACAAAATAATAATTAAGTTGTCTGAAAAATGTATTCCGAAAAGAAATTTTATTTTGTATATTTATTTTAGAGTGAAACAGATCTTAGTCAGACAGACATGAATGATGAAAACCTAAAAAAGAAAGAAAGGAAAGAACAGCTTACTAAACACCAAAAAAGACGTTTATATGAAAAAATGGGAAATGCAACAGGTGAAAAGCCAAGGGGCTGGAACTGGGTGGACATTGTTAAACATTTATCACAGACTGGGTCACAGGATAGTTGATGTTTATATGATATTTAAGATTATAAATCAGTAACAAGTTGACTTTGTCATCACAATGATATATTGTGAGGGTGGGGTGGATATTGTTTGTTCTGTTAGTTTGTCCTCCTTTGGACAGCTATAAGCTTGGCTATAAAAATTTTGTTCTGTAACCTGTACAGATTGAATAATACTCTGGCAAATTAGACTGGAAATTTCCTTCCTGAAATTACTTTTCACATTTTCTTGGTTTCTTTATTTTTTTAAAAACAGAGACAATATTGTTATATATATAAACCAATCCATATAAGATCAGATAAAAACTGCTTTATGACTATATTTCCTTTTATTTGTTTTACATCTTCCAGTAATTTAAAATGCAGTTTTTGATGCCAACAATATTTTAAAAGGATACCATTTACATTAGGCTTCTTATTACTTCAGATATTATTTTAGTAATATTTTTGGTGCAGAAAATAAATTATTATAAAGATATAATTAAATGATAAAAAAATGATGCTTTTACTAAATGATACAATGAATTTATGCGCAGTTGTGTAAGTTAATGGCAAGATGTAATCATCAGTTTATTAAGCAGATTGAGGGGTAGGATAAATGCTGAGCTGTTATTTCAAATGATACTGCATTTATCACAAAATAATAGTCTTAATTTGTTATAATTTTCAAACTTAAATTACTACAGTTTCAAATTTTTGATACAGAGGAGAGTTACTTTGAATGACAGACTTATTTATGGAATTGATGAGGTTTTAACAAAATAATATGATTGTACTACTTTGAAAACAACAGAGGTAATGTGGTCACAGAGATATAAATCTTAATGTGATACAGAGATTATTTTATACATGTAAATATATTTTGGTTTATATGCTTATCAGGCCTCGACATTAGCGGTGGTCCGTTGGTCCGAGACCACTTGATTTTGGCAAGGATCACCTAATTTTAAAACCTACTGGTCCGTCCACTGGTCCTTTGGACCACTTTAATTTTCTGGTTGATGCAAGGCTCATTTTGGAGAATGGCGATTTGGTCAAAAACATGTTATATAATTTTGTTTAAAATCTATGTCCGATGTACATGTATATGGTTCATTAATCTCTGATTAGTTAACTAAGTTCTTAAGTCATCAATAACTTTCATTGTAAGTTGCTAAAATTTTGTTTATGCAAGTTAAAAGAGTTCAGAATTTGTGATATAAATTTAGATACAAAATTCATTCAAATGGTGCTAGTAATTATGCATTGTCTGATAACCACGGCGGAACCATTAAAATTGATGTTATGTTACATGTTAATCAACCGTGAGTATCCGATGATTGTAATTATATGATATTGGATAAACATAAATTTCAGATACTTGAATAACGGCAACAAACAAAAGGAACTTGAAAAAATACATCTAGTAATTCTATGCTATTTATCTTTACTTTACCTGTTTAATGATAAGAGATCTGATTCTTCTAGAGTTAAAATTATTTTAAAAGGTTAAAAATACCCATTGTCAAAAATGAATATCAACCAACAAGCAACAGGGAGGTAAAGTTCTTATTATAAATCTGTGAGAAGAATAAGATACTAAGTTATAGTAAATAATAATGTCATTATTTCAATAATTAGATATTTCCTCGTTTTCAAAGACAAGAATAAGATAATTTATTAGTTCCATTAAAAATGTTAATCTATAAAATATGCTATGTTATTATCATGATTATAAGACATACCACGTATCAGCAATGAATAACAATTTGAATAACAGTAAGAAAATAACAGACACAAAGGGCTTCACTATTCCCTAACTTGAGTTGAGGGAGAAATCACTTTAATATAAAAGTTAACATAAATAAGAGCTCTGTTGTGTATTTTTGACTGAGATAAAAACAAATATCTCTACGATAAAATACCTACTGACTTGCTCTCCCTTTTCTGATTATATGAAAAATATATATCTAAAAATATCTGTTTTTTTTAAAGGTTAATAATACATCTTTGTCATGAAGTTTAAACATTTTTTCTACATTTGAAGTAAAATGATATAATAATGATAATTGACCACCTGACTTCTGGAAGGACCACCTAACTTTCAAATCTAGTGGTCCGGCGTACCACCTGCTAAAAAAGTTAGTGTCGAGGCCTGCTTATAGTAAGGATATGCAATGGGATTGTTGTTCTATGGCTATGGCTTGCATTCAATCACAATACTGAATGAAAAGTTAACATTTTAAAAGAGCTGGTGAAAAAAATAACAAGAAACTTTTATTGAATTTGACTTGAAGTCTTTTGACTTTTGAAGTCTTAATAGCTTATATAATAACTTAGATTTTGATTAATTTCACATAATATGTCGGTATATTTCTTGTAAAATTATAGTAGTTTTCCATATATTTTCAAAATATATTTCAAAAACATTCATATTTAACATGTAACAAGGAATATTTCACCTTTTTGTGTCAAATCATCTTAAATCCAAACCAAATAGGTAATTATTTTTTTTAGATTTATGCAATGAATTTTACCCTTTGTTTCTTACCCCTTCCACTCTAATGGCATCTGGGTTCGATTTTGTTTGTTTGTTGTTGTTGGTGTTTTTTAGGGGGGATTTTTATCAGAACAATGGTATTTAAACTAATTTAAACTAAATTTCATTAATTTTCTTCATGTAAATGTGTATGTTATTTAGATTTAGATCCTAGCTTAAAACTAAATAAATCATATAAACCCCACCCTTCAAAACAATGTTTCTTGTGCGCAGTGAAAGCATTTGTTAAGGTCTTGCCTACAGTGATGAATTCCTTGTATGGAAAACTGTTTGCCAGTTACAATGTCAGATTGTTTTGTTATTCTGCAAGTTGTTTTGTAAAGGAAATATTCCTTGATAATGGTGCAATTGTCAATTATTTAAAAAGAGTTGAATAAATGTGATAATCTGATCTTGTATTGTTATTAATTATTGAACACTCCTGAATTAGCAGTTTTAATGTTTTTTACAAAGTTTAATTTAAAATGAACCTGGATTGTGTAGACTACTACAGTACTTTACTGTTGTATAAACAGAGTGTAGTCTACTGCTGTACTCTACTAACATAAAACCGGAGTGAAGTCTACTACCTTACTTTACTGGCATATAACCTGTGTGTAGTCTACTACCTTACTTTACTGGCTATAACCTGTGTGTAGTCTACTACCTTACTTAACTGGCATATAACCTGTGTGTAGTCTACTACCATACTTTACTGGCATATAACCTGTGCATAGTCTACTACCTTACTTTACTGGCATTTAATATGTGTGCAGTCTACTGCCTTACTTTACTGGCATATAACCTGGGTGTAGTCGACAACTTAACTTTACTGGCATATAACCTGAGTGCAGTCTACTACCTTACTTTACTGGCTTATAACCTGTGTGTAGTCTACTACCTTACTTAACTGGCATATAACCTGTATGTAGTCTCCTACCGTACTTTACTGGCATATAACCTGTGTGCAGTCTACTACAGTACCTTACTCATATAACCTGTGTGTAATGTACTACATTACTTTACTGGCATATAACCTGTGTGTAGTCTACTTCCTTACTTTACTGGCATATAACCTGTGTGTAGTCTACTACCTCACTTTACTGGCATATAACCTGTGTGTAGTCTACTACCCTACTTTACTGGCATATAACCTGTGTGTAGTCTACTACCTTACTTAACTGGCATATAACCTGTATGTAGTCTACTACCGTACTTTACTGGCATATAACCTGTGTGCAGTCTACTACCTAACTTTACTGGCATATAACCAGTGTGTAGTCTACTACCTTACTCTACTGGCATATAACCTGTGTGTAGTCTACTACAACACCTTACTCATATAACCTGCATGTAGTCAACTATCATATATGTGTAGCCTACTACAGCACCTTACTCATATAGCCTATGTGCATGTAGTCTACTACCTTACTTTACTGGCATATAACCTGTGTGTAGTCTACTACCTTACTTTACTGGCATATAACCTGTGTGTAGTCTACTACCTTTCTTTACTGGCATATAACCTATGTGTAGTCTACAACAGTGCCTTACTTGTTAATAGCATATATGAAGTCAACTTCTGTACTTTACTGTCAAATAACCTATGTGTGATCTAATACCATACATTACTTGTAAATAACGAATGGGTAATCTAATGCCATACCTTACCGGCATAAAACCTGTGTGTAGTTTACCATAGTCCCTTTATTTTAAAATCAAATAGTTAAGCCACTTTAAAATTTGAATTCAATTTTTGTGTAAACCTACATCTGAGGTCTTCCTCAAAAAGTAAAACTGGAATATCATTATAACCAGAACAGTGAAATTCAACAAATCAACACATTTCTATCAATAGGTCACAGATCTACGTAAAATTGACATCAAGGAAGCAAATGTTGGCACTCTTTTTTATGGTGATTATTTGTAAGTTTTAATGCAATGGTATGGTGTATTATTGAATTAGAACTAAATATGAAACTGGCGCTATTCCAAACAAATTGTAAAAGTCAAAAGTATTATTTTGCCAAAATCGTTTTCAGTATAATACCCTTTATTCTGCATCACAAATATAATTGTAAATTTTGTGAAATATGTTATTAATTCTGCTTAATTGAACAATGAAAAAATGTTTATAGTGTCACATGAATTAGGAGTACTATGAAATGCAACAAATTCAATCACATGCAGTAACCTTGACTTTTATGACTTACTGACCTAGATTTTGCATTTACTTACAATAGACGCATGAAACATTTTGTTTGAGTAATTGGCTACATTAAAGTTTTTGCACAACAACAATGACGCTGACGAGTTCATAATAGCTTAACTTTTCTTTGTAAGACACAAGCTAATAACAAAATAAAATTCAATAGCAGGAAAGGAAGGAAAATAAGTGCTGGAATTATTTTGCTGTTAGATAATAAAATAAAATTATAAGACATTGTATATATGTATTGTGATGGATGTATACACAAAGGACGAAAATCTAAATAAATCTTAAATTTATATCTTCAATTATTTTATTACAGACTGTCGAGAATAAGGGTCTTTCAACTTTCTATTTGAAAGACCCTGCGAGAATGAAAGAATAATGTCACATAACAAATCACAATAAAACACAAAACAAATAAGAAATAAAAACAAGAAGAGAACTAAAACTCTAAGTAATGTGTATATGGTCCATTTGTTTGAGTTGAGAATACTTGTCTGTTACCATAAGTTCCTGCTCTTACCACTTTCTGTTGTTCTCTACATTTTGGTGCACCTGTTACATATATATCACACAACTTGGCAAACTTTGAGTATAAATTATATCCATCCTCTTTATTGATGTTTCTATGGTATTGCATTCTTTTACCCTTCAAACTGCCACCCAGTGTGGCCTGTGGAATGATAAGAACATCACCAGGTAAATCTAATACTGATACAAGTTTTCCAGTTTCTGACTCGCTTAAACATGCAGTTAGGGCTGCCTTCACTGAAAATATTATCAAAAACTTCACATATTATAACAAAAGTATACACTGATGAAATGTTTTATCTAATGTGATACATTTGCTATTTTCTTCTTTACAAAATTTTATTTATAGTTCCTAATTAACCTCTGAATTATGGTTATACTTACATGTGACAAGATTTTTATTTTTTTTCAGTACATGTATCAACATTTTTTTCTTCAAGCCTTTAAGATATCCATAGGGTTATATAATGTTAAATAACATTTCATAAAGCAATGCACAGGAAGCCATACACGATAGATATTAAGGTAATTTATTCAGCTCAATTTTTCTTAAATGTTTAATCTTAAGGTATATTTTAGCAATTGCAAAGCTCCTCAGGTTAACTCTGCTTCATGTAAACTTCTAGTAAATAATGATTTTGTGTGCAATTGGCACACAAATGAAACATACATGAAAATTAAGAAATACTTTTAAAACAAACCCATTTTTTCCACCATATCTTCAGTTGCCCCTCTAAAGAAGCAGATGTATATTATTAATCCACGACCAATCTAAAATGAAATTCATTTTAATATATGTTGCGAATCTCTATTTAACATATATTTTAACATATACATATACATGAATAAGTAAATAGTTAATATCATATTACTATTTTAATGGTTAAATACCAATTGCTATTATTCAATACAAGGGTGAGACTATGAATGTTTAAACATAAATACAGTCTTGATTTTATTGATAAAGATACAATTACAGGTGATTCACATTACCTGCATAAATACACATATAGTTTGAATTCAAATTTAATCGGTTGAAATTTTAATTTTACTATCAAAATAAAACTCTTCCACTTATTGTCTGAGAATGAAGAATTTTCAAGTTGATTGAGAAACATAAAATCCATCTTTACACAGTTCCAACTCAAGTCTAATTGTAATAACTTTCATTAACTTATAAAAAAGATATTCTGTATTGCATCTTTAATTATCAAAAGTCAATTATTAGAGACAATTTTTTAGACAATCTCATTGTCTAGTAATGTCTACCAATGCCTGTGATTATTAGTAGTGCTATTCATGAGCACTATTTTGTAAAATAAGCACACAGCCAGAATACCATGACCAGTACCTGCAAGGACACTGTTGCAGCAGGGATATCTTTACCTTACTATGTCTATTATCTATACTGGTCGGGGACCATCAACCGGACACTTTTTGAACATTTTGCCGTACAGATTTCATAATTTTTAACCTAGAGACCTTAAGATTTGACACAGTTCAGCTAGGTTCTTCTCCTAACTAACAAACTAGTTTGTTTATTTCCGATTGTATTGACATTTATATCTGAGGCTCGACAAGAAGGGTATCAAAATTACCTAGATTGTCTACACTACAGTACCATGTGTCCGGACACATATGTACATCACGTGATTTAATTCAGATAAAAGCTGGGGTGTTTTGACTTTAGATTTTTAACATGATATACAATATTTCAGTAACAAATGCTGAAGTTTTTGATATTCTATTATTCACTCTGCAAATGATTATAGCTGGTATATGAGGTCAGGCATTGCTTTCTTGACCCCCAAATTTCAACGTCAACATTCTTGAAATAGACATTAAAATATTACTATTTACAGAGGTTGAAATAAATTAATTTACTTAATTTTAACATAAACATGCACTTATTGTTGATAAAAAAGTGACTGACAACCACTGAACAAAGAAAATACTAAATTAAGCATTTTCGGGGCCGTCCGGGTTTGGTGGTTGTCCGGTCTTGGTGGTCCCCAACCAGTAGCTAGAAGGATTGCAGTGTAAAAAATATATCATGTTGTTAAAAATGTTTACAATTAATCTATATAAATAATGTAGCCTAATGTCTGTGAAATGCAAGACATACTTCTACAAACTGCTCCTCTTGTGTATCTGTTCTTGGCTGAACCATAAGCTTTGCTGAAAGACACTGTTGTAGAATAAGTCGTGACCTCACAGGTAAGGGTTCTTCTGATGTTGATGCTCCATTAGATCCAGACGCCATCCTCATAAAAATAGAAAATAATCTCTAGTTTCACTTTTGTAAAACTAAAATTAAAGGCTCGTTAACCTTAATTTCTAGCAAATGCAAAAGTTAATATTTTATTTGTCTCGATTTTTAAACAACACAATGCGACAGTACGGTAATCTGCAGTTAATCTTATCACAAAGAGTCTGTTTCAAAATGATAATCAAATTATCAGTATTTTAAGATGTTACGACACAGAAACAAGTCCAACACAACATAAAATGATTATTACACAATGTTTATAATTTCAAAAGAAAATTCAATTTAAAAATTCTTATCATACTTGAGTAAAGTGACGTCTGCTCGTCAGAAACATGAGCGTTCACCGAAACGTTTACGTTGCTGCAAATGGCGCTTTTTGTTAAAAGGGAGGCTACTCAAATAAGAATTCACAAATTCGAAAACCTAGCTAAATGCCGTTTTCCGGTACTTTCTGTACATAGCTCTGGGGAATTTCACCTAATGGAGTGTAATAGCGAACTCGTTGTTTTCGGCCTTTTTTTTAAATTAAATTGAAATAAAACAGTTATTTCTTTATAAGAAAATAATTAAATATCATTGTTTGAATAATTCCATACAAAAAATAAAGTAAATACACAAGTTTATGCAGAAAATAACCTTATTTATTATGGAAGATTCCACTACGTCTGTTTGAATTTTATTGATTTTCATTATAAATAATTTATTTTTTTTGAATACTTTGCAATAGATATGAAAGGAATATTGATAATTTTCAAAAACATCAATTTTTTTCACCTTAAACGGTTAAATAATGATAGAAAAATAGAAATATCACGTAACTGTGTTATGTACTTCATTTGGTGTAATTCCCCAGAGCTAATACGGTAACGTACCGGAAAACGGTGTTTAGCTAGGTTTTCGAAAAGGTCAATCAAGACAATCAATCCAGAATAGTCTCATTTTATTATAGTATACTAATAAAGCTCTTCAATCTATCAGGAAATTTACTAAGAAAATAACGTTTAAAGATGTGGTAGTAATTAAATAACTTTCTAAAAGGAATGTGTTTTATAATCTCATTAATTTGCTTTTTGTCTCCAAATTAGTAATTAACCAAATGCATAAATACATCAATTAATGATAAAGTTGTATCAAATTTCATTAAGTACAGGGTTCTCAATAACTTTCAGCTCAGCAGGCCAAATTTGTATTCTAGCAGGCCTTATAGGGGGGTCCCGGAAAATTTTGAAATTAAGCGCTTGATTTCCTACATTCTAGGCCATATTTTTGCAGTTTAAAACTATTACAGAAGACCAAATGTAAAGGCATAATTTGAAAAAAAAACTATATAAAATTTCTCACACTATTTAATTCTGTAAAAAATGTGTTACATTATGAGTAATCCAGTATTAAGAGTGTTGTAATATAAATTTTTTGTGTTTAATTGGAAAAAAGTGCAGTTTTGCCTTAAATGACAAAAGACAAAATAGACATGGCACTAACAAGATTTCAATAGAGCTTACAGTTTCACATCTACATATATACATCAATGTACAGTTTATGTTTACAAAATCAAAACAGGCCCAGCGTTCACAAAAATTTAAGGATCAGGATCAAATTAAAAACTAATATTCTTCATTGTTTATCCTCATACATTATATATCTAATATTAATTTGATGAAGTTGGGTTTGCGATGGCAAGTTTATGAAATTTTAGATAAATTTATTGCTATTTTTGTAAGATTAAGGGAATTTTACAGTTGATCCAAATATTGATCCTGATCCTAAAATTGATTTCTAAAATTCTCATTTTGAAGTTAAAAGCTTGAACAAGACCTAAATGTGTTAGTCATAAATTCTATTAACTTATTTGTCAGAAATAGAACAGCGCAAATGTCACAAAAATTTATGCCAACAAATCTCAATACATGTAATTCACTAAAAATGTATCAGTTATTTGGTATAAGATTTGAGTGGGAACATTTGATTTATATCTTTTGTCCCTGATTTGAACAACAAATTATCGATTTTAAGTCATTTTGATTAAAGTATATTGCCCTTAATTTTTATACCTAGGGTATAAAAACTTTGATAACAATTAAGCTTGTTATTCACATTATATTACTTGCATTAAAATTGCTTATTCTTAAATTAGCATTGAATATATCAGTGTATGAAGTTTAGTAAAAGAAAGATATTTTATTTAAAACATTTCGTTTTTTCTTTTATGAAATTTTTCCCAATCCGTAATTGCATGTCCGAATAAGTTACATCCGAAATCAGATCTATTTTTGACAACACATGAATGTATTTTAGTACACATTATCAGTGTAAATGACAACTATCAACAATTGATTTTACGATTTTATAACAAACAAATCATGTTTTTTAAAGTTTAAACCCTTGAATAGTGTCCAGTTTTAGCAAGTATTTTCATTGCAATATTGCAGTAGGCGTTTCGTTTCGTTTCGTTCAAAGCCTTGATAATGGCCGTGTTGTCACTCCGGTATGTACAGCTAAACTCTGGTATTTCCGATTACGGTAAAAAACTCTCAAGTAGGGTTACAATAATTTAATAATGATTATGAAATAGAATGTAAACTGAAAGGGGAAAAAAATCTTTTTTGATGAAAAAAAAAAAAAAAAAAAAAAAAAAAAATTAAAATCTTTTGGATAATTTGACAAATTCATTTGCAATATTTGACAACTCTTGCTATGGTCTTTGAATTGGTCTTCTTGTATGTCTGAAAGCAATAGTTCTTTTGTAAATACACTTATTCCTGTCTTTAGGAATATTTCTTTCTTCAGGTTTTCTCTTGATGCCTCATACAGGGTACAGTCCTCTATAAAATGTGTTACTGTCTCAACTTCTCCACAATTACATAGACTTGTGTTTTTCGCCCCAATCTTGTTCAGATAATCATTGAGGCAATATCCACTTTGTAGTTGAAGTAACTGTCTTTGGTTGCTCAAGCCATGGAAGTTAATTTTTTTGGGCTGGACTTGAGGCTTGAGTCCATAGAGATGCCTGCCAGTTTCAACAATTTCCCATCTTCTCTGCCATTTAATGCGGACTGATTCTCTAGCTGAGTGGCGAATGTCACTTTGACTTGTTACAAGGAGTGAATCTTCTGTTTCCATTTCCTCAGCTTCTTTTGCTGCTTCTTTTGCAAGTCCGTCAGCAATGTCATTCCCTTTTATGCCAGCATGACCAGGAGTCCAATCAAAATTGACTGTAACATCTGCTAATTCAAGCTCTTTCCTCAACTGGAGTATCTCTGTTGACAGGAATTTGTGTGTCTTATTTTCCCAGCCAAGATCAATAATTCCAACAGCGGACTGACTATCACTAAGTATTTTTTATCTTATTTATTTCAAATCTTCCAATCTCAGTAAGTAGGGCTTGAAGTGTTATTTTAATGGCAACCAGTTCTCCTACTAAAATTGATGATAACTTTGATACTGGTTGTTTCAGTTCTATAACTTCTGTGTTTGGAAGAAGAATGCAGGCTCCAGCACCACATGGACCTGGATTTCCTCTACAGGAACCATCAGTAAATGCTACAGCTGTTTTGGTATCTACATCAGATAGAAGTGATGAGATGTGTTGTCTTGCATCTTCTTCTTGTTTAACAGTTCTTGATTTGGAGGATCCTAGATTGTTCCAATAATCTGGTCTGGTTCTAGATGGTTGCAGGTATTCAAGGTATGAAAACTCTGGTTCAATACTGTTCAGTGTGATGGTGGTTAATGATTTCATGTCCTCTACCTGTGTGAGCATGCAAAAGAATGGAGATTGGAATTTTTCTCTGACTTTTCCATACCTATCTTGACAGCTTTTTAAACTTTTTGCAATGTTTTGCCTAATTCCTTTTGCCATTATTTTCCCACAATCTCGAATACTCAGTTCTTCTCGCCTCAAATCAAGTGGAAGAACTCCAGCCAATACTTCAACTGCATCTTTACTGGCTGTGTTGTGTAATCCAAGGCAGTAAGCTAAACCTTTCCTTTGTATCTTGTCCAGGGGCTGACAGTTGGCAATCTGCCAAATAGGGACTGCATACTCCAGTTGAGGTAGAACCAAGCTTGTATAAAGATTTATCATATTTTTGACACTGATCTTCTCTGTTTTGGCTACTGACATCAAGGAAGCCAATGCTTTAGTGCCTTTTCTTTCAGTGTATTCTATATGTTCTTTGAATGACAATTCCGAATCTAAAATAACACCTAAAATTTTTACTTTATCTTTCTCTTGCAATACTTTCTTGTTTAAGCAGATCTCTATTTGATCTAAGTTTTCTTTTTTCCTATTAAAGATGGTGTATTCAGTTTTATCTAAATTTAATTTCATTCTCCATTTCTCTGTCCATGTGTTAATTGTTGCTAGGTCTGTATTGATTATTTTTTCTAAATCATGTATGTCATTTCCAGACATCCAAATAGTCCCATCATCTGCAAATTTGATACTATTGCTTTTTATGTTTTGGAATATATCAGTTAGGTAGAGGTTGAACAAAAGGGGGGAGAGCACTGAACCTTGTGGTAATCCAACTGAAGTTTGGAAGGTATCTCCTATTTCACATGCTACTACACATCTTGCTGATCTTCCAGTTAAGAAGTTTGCCAACCATTGCCACATTTTCCCTCTTATTCCCAGTCTTTGTAGCTTAACAAGCATACCATCCCTCCATACACTGTCAAAGGCCTTCTCCAAATCTAGAAATACTGCTAGTGTGTGCTGTTTTTCATTAAAACCATCAAAGATATTCTGCACAAGCCTTAACAGAGCTTGTGTAGTGCTGTGATATTTTCTAAAACCTTCTTGTTCTTCATCTATGATGTTCTTGTGTTCTGAGTATGCATATAATCTGGCATATACTATTTTCTCCATACATTTACCAAGGACACTTGTCAAGCTTATAGGCCTGTAGGAACCTGACTTATAATAGGACTCTTTTCCATGTTTCTTTAAGAATTTGACTGTTGCTGTTTTCCAGGCCTGGGGAAGGATACTGGTATCCCAGGAGAGTTGAAAAATATATGTGATGGCTTCAAGAAGGTGGTTATTTGAGTATAAAAGTAAATCTGTGTATATTTTATCTGGCCCAGGTGCTTTATTTTTCTTTAAATGCTGGATAGCTGCTTCTACCTCTTGAATTGTAATAGATCTATTAAGGAAACTTTGGCTTTCATCTTCTTCTGTAACATGATGTTTACTTTGTTTGATGTTAAACAATTCTTCTTCAATATGTTTCTTGAAATCTTCATCAAAGGTGACATTTTGTAGATGTTTATCACTGAAAAAAGGTCTCTTCTAGCAGTTTTGCCTTTTCTTTTTGTATCAAAAATCACATCACCATTACTGTTAACAAGGGGGAGTATAGTATCTACATCTTCTACTTGATAGGATGTTAAACTCTTAAAGTACCTCCATTTCTCTTTTGGAGTATTACACAGATTTATGTTTTCACACAACATATCAGCCCATTCATCTTTAGCTTTTTCAATTTCCTCTTCATACTTTTGCTCACATTCTTTCAACTTTATTAAATTTCTAGGAGTTTGTCTTTGCTTGAAAACTTTTTTTAATTTGTTTAGCTCCGTTTTTATAGTTTTGACTTCTTCGTTGATCCAGGGTTGGTGTACTCTCCTGTTGCTATATTTGGCAATTTTTTTGGGTACAGCTTCAGCCATACAATTATGAAAAATTTCTAGAAAACAGGAGTATATATCTTCAGTGTTTAAATTTTGAAAGTTTTCAGATTTCCATGAGGAAAAACTCTCTTTAGTGCTTGCTTGCCATTTGAGGATATCCATTTCTTTGATACAGAATATTTCTTTTTCCACAGGTCTCTGATTACAGTAGTCATCTATGTCCAAAAAAACTGCGATGTGGTCTGACCTAACATTTTCTTGATTTAAGGTTTGACACAGTCTAATATCTTTGTTTAAATGTGGCTTTACAATAAACAGATCAATAACACTGTTACTGTTTCTTCTTGTAGGCTCCATATCATTAACACAAATAAAGTTCTCTGACCATAGACAATCCTCCAGTTGTTCCCCTGCATTATTATTCAACAAATTTCCCCACAGTTTACTTTTTGCATTAAAATCTCCTGTTAAAATGATGTTTTTAAACATACTATTACACTTTTTTATTAGAGATACAAGTAGCATTATTTGTTCTTGATTACCTGGTGGAATGTAAGCTGTAATTAATAGAATTTCCTCCTTTTTCCTCAGTTTTAAAGTGGTGCACATTGCTTCTAAGTTTTTTAGGCTGGAAAAATCGGCAATAGAGTTGGACTTCCGGTTTCACTTTATGCAAGTTTAATTAAGATTTATTTGCTAATAAAAGTCTGTTTTCAGATTTATTCCAATCATTTATTGTGTTTCTACTGAAAAATTAACAATTATCACGGAGCATCAGTATTTGACAGTCAAATTCTGTTCTCAGTTTTTGGTATTAATTGAAAATTTTACAAATTTCAGCCGGCCAAAAAGTGTTTTTAAACGGTCATTTCGGCCGGCGGCCGGCTCTTATTGAGAACCCTGTAAGTATGAAGAAACCTTACAGATACTTTAAAGTTTTAAATCTTATTCACTTCAGGTGATGTTGTCTAATATGTCATCAAGTTCAAAATATTAATCATATCTTTGCAAAATTTTACAGAATTAATGAATTCTTACACAATTATTTCTGGTACACGAGCGCTTAATACCAAAGCACCAAATTAATTCTCCAGCCTGCCACATTTGGTGGTCCTTCTGTGCTCTATAGTTTAGTTTATACAGAATTACCGTATTGTTTTTAATTTACACCCGTCCATCTAAGTAGCGCCCTGGCGAAAAAACTCTTACCTTATAGATTTAAAATCCACAATGAAAGAGAAATCCAAAAAACCTTTATTTAAAAATAACAATTAATGACACTCCAGTAAAGTCATTAAACTAATATAATCTTGTATTTTGTATTGGATGATTATAATGAATAATGATTTTTATAATTGAATTATATCTTTGATAAACATATTTGAAAGCACATTTTAATACTTCTTATTAGCACCCCCTTTTGAAAAAATGCAAGCCCCAGGGAGGATTAAATAGAGACAATATGGCATTAAAGTTAGATCGTGTACGAGGCTTAGAGCTCACAGACACTCTGAAATCTTTTTCCTTGGAAACAACCAGTACTAAGCTACAAGCGTTGTTTCTTGCTCAATGAAACAAAGGCTTGCTTAAGGTTTGAACCAACATGGACAGCAATCCTTAGATTACTAGTCCAGCATAATTACCATCAGAATACATGTGCTGTTCAGTTTTGTCTCTGCCTGCTCTTCTAATAACTATGACTTACAGTTTGTTTTGTTTTTCATGAGGAGGTGAAGTAACTAAATTAACAATGCATAATGTCTCTTCCATAAGGCATTGCACTTTCATTTGTTGTATTTAAAAAACATGTTAAATAAGTGAAAAAACATACCTTTAACATAAAGGTCGATACCTTGGTTATACTTTTACATCTGTGATGCTCCTATAGTACAATTACACCTAAGAAAAGCAGGACTATGCATTTTATTGCCTCTTCAGGTGGGCTGTCCATTGCTAAGTGGTTAAGGCCGAAGAATTCACATCACTTATCCCTGCCAAGGGTTTGAATCCCACTTGGGCTTTGGATTCTTTCATGTGAGCAAGCTATCCAGCTAGTTTACAGATTATAGGTGGTTTTACTCAGGTGCATGAAAAAAGTTTTCCTCCACTAGTAAAGCTGGAGTAGTCATATGACCTTTTATGTGCAAACATTTTTGTTTGGACAAAACAATTATTATTCATTATCATTATTTACATAAGATTTTTGAAAAGATGTTAGGAAAGTTGGATTATTCATCCGAAAAAAGAAACAGAAACATGTTGTGTCCGAGGACTATACCTAGGTTATGGAATAAATTCAAAATTGTCTAATATACACACTTGTTTACAATTCATGCTTATAATGAAAAAAAAAATTCTTTCTTCTCCTGTAACCAATTCAAAAGACCATCAACTTAATATCAACAACACCAACACTAAAGTGACATAATAAGCACTTTTATTCATCAATAATGATTTATACCATGAAAAATAACTTGGTAAACAAAATATCAAATGATATTAACATATGCTTGTTAATTAACCTCAAAATACTTGAATATGTTTATTTGGTCTATGTGTACTATGTGTCATTATACAACAAATTATACAGGCTTTACACAAGGCTGATGACATTCATTTTATTTATATCTCATATATTGTAGACATCCTGCAAAACTTAAATTAGAAAATTCCCTGGTAATGCAGTGGATGTATAGAAAAAGTTTTCAGAAGTAGGTTATGCAGTGGATAAATAGGAAATTTTCAAAAGTCATCTTCAAAAATCTTTTTCCTGCAGCCAGTTCTCAAAAATATAATTCAGTACACAAATATTTTAACGTTCAGCAATAGCACTGTTATGCACCAAAGTCCAGTAGTGATGATATTGTATGTAGAATGATATTAAATGTATCACAAAGTATTTTCTACAAGTCCTCATCATCACTGTCATCTGATTCCTCCAGAGATTCCTGAAATAATAAATATATTTATATATTAATATAATGTCATCAAATCAGACTGACTCTAACATATACTTATTTTATCAGACATCTTTATATGCAGTGACCAAATAGTTTAGCATTGCAATGCAAATTCAATTCAAATAGAAGACATTTTTTATAAAGAGCAGCTTAATAATTGCTGGGGATTCTATGAAGTAACAGAAGGAAGATAGCCTAAAACTCTTTTCCCACTAAAAACAAATTGGTCATTAAATTCATAAAAACGCCCACAGGAATAATAACAACATGTTGTTTGTTTTAATGAAAGATCAAAATACCATTCATAGAGTGAACTAAAGATTATATATTTTCATCAGTAACATAGCTACGAGTGAAATTTAAAAGTGGAAAAATTAGGCAAGAAAAAACAACAAAGGGCAATTGTTCTAAAATTATGAAGTGTAGAGTTGTCACTTTTGAGAACTGCACTCCTCTTTAATGCACTCAATTTATCTATGAAATTTGAAGTTGATTTCCCAAACACTTTTTTTGAGGCTGAGCTGTTGTCCTGACCAACAATTTAGTAAAACAAAACAACAAAGGGCAATAACTAAAAAAATATGATGCAGGTCTGACTTATCACTCTTGAGCACTGCACTCTTCCTTAATGGAACCTATCCACCCATGAAGTTTGAAGTTGATACCTCAAACACTTTTAAAGTTATTCTCCACATGCAGGTTAACAAAGAGCAAAAAATATCTTGGGTAGTCATCTTTCTTGTGCACTCTCAATAGGACTTACTAACTAACAAGTCTGAAGTTGATATTTTACATACTTTGAGAGTTATGCTCTGGACAAAATATCCTGTGTAGCCTTTTTCACAAGTTATGAAACAATTCTATATGTTTTAAAGATTCTTTTTTTTTTCATTTGAGCAATAAAAACACAAATGTTGATATATACCTTGGCATATTTTTCTGCATCTGTAAAAACATTCTTAGGAACAAGCTCATGTTTACCGCCAGTCACTGAAATGATAAAAACGTAACATTGTGAAAAATTAAAAAATAACAACCATAATCAGACTGGACTTTTTATCAAAATCACACATAATTATATTCTCAACTGATTAATTTTGTCAGGGCTTGAAAACCTCATCTTTGAAATAGAAATTTAAAATCAAACAACGCAACACAGACTTCCCGAAAGTTAAAAAAAAAGTGTCAGACATTTGGTCTGACAAACCATGAAAATCTGTCGGACCGAAACGAAATCTGTCAGACCGAATAAAATTAATCAAAAGGAAAACTTGTGTTTGTATTTCTAAGACACTTTTAGCTTTTAATTTTTTCGCGGTAAAAATCGGCACAGTCCGTACAGCTCATTTTCAATACACCAATGATTCACGGTCCTGTTTCCATTTTTCATTTAATTTTATCTCAGATCTATTCTTTTCATCCTTTTACTGCTGTACTACGCGCTCCGCTGACGTAAATTTTTGGTTTTTCCCACGTTTGCCAACATATTTTAATGGTAAAGTTTCTTAACATAAGACATGAAAATATGACTTTTCACATCTATTTTTGTGCATTTAGTATCTGACTCCTAATCAATTTGTTACTGAAATACTTTAATTTTGGAAAGCCATAAAAACTATGCTTTTAAAGATGGTTGCTAAGCAATAGTAAGAAATTTCTATTTTTTAACCAATATACAGCAAACTCCTCTTATAACGATATACCTCTTTTAATGATGCTGTTACCCTGTTTCGTACTCCTTGCCCCTGAGATATCCGGAAATAACAATATAAATTCAGAGGTCCCCTGAATATTGTTATAAGTGGAGTTTAAAATACATGTTTATCTTTAAAGGCCAATTAAGCCTAAAAAATGCCAATGATTTCATTTTTCAAAAGCTTTTTTAATTTTCTTATCCTGTTACAGTTTCTAAAACAGCTACTCATTGGCCATGAAGCTGAATAATCTTTTGCTACTTTGGCAGTAAGTACATTTACAGTGATTAAGTATGTTGTATGGAAGTCACAATACTAAGTTTGTTTACATTTAGCTACCTATATCAGAACTTATTACACACTCAGCGCTTTTTTCTTATGGTGATGAGCAGATTACTTGTTCTATTTATTACAACATTATAAAACACTAGTTTGTCCTATCGACAGAAGGGAAAACAATTCTGAAGCTTAATGCACCTTTAAAGAGATAGCCTGAATAATCAATCATTGACCTTTGACATCCTGTTGAATGAACTGATCACTTTGTACAAGTAATTTCTTAACATCTATCTGAATATGTAGCACTGTTTTCCTTGTCAACTAACAAAATATCAAGAATAAGCAATATGCTATAAATCTTTCTGCCAACAATTTGATAAAATTGTATTAACTTACTATCTCCAACCCAACTTAATTCAAGTTCAAAATTTTTGTCCTTCACTTCATCATGAACTATGTAAATTCTGAAAAAGTAAAATGACTATATAGCATAACTGAATTAAAGAGGAATCTTAGTTCTATACTATGCAATTAGTGTAAAGTGCAGCTTTAGTTAAAAATAACAGATTAATTAAATTCATTTCTTTTTTTTTTAGACTTTGTACTAAATATAAATATCTTTACTGGGACAGTTAATGCTAAAGCCTTTTCACTGATCAATCTAAACGAAATGGCATTAGAATTATACATAAAATTTGTGCTGTTTTCATACTCCAAACATAACATTAAAATTATAATAAAATAATAGTCTTTCATATGAATAAGTTTTTGAATTACTCAATTAACTTTTACATACATTTTTGCTACTTCTTTTACAAGATCAACACACAACATGTCTTTCATCTGGAATAATAAGAGATATCACTAGTGAAATGTCAACAATTTTTTTCAGATGAAGGTGCAATGCATTACATTTTTGATTGGAGTAGATTTTTACCATATCATTACTTGTTTCGTATTTTTTGTTATGCAACATGTTTCACTTAATTTTTCTCAAATTCTATACACAGACCATGAAAATTAAATTTAAATTTATTTAGCATAAATCATTATTTTACGTAAATTTTCATTATAAATTATCTCAACATTTCAACAGTTTTTTTTACTGGTCTGTGAAAACAGAATTTTATAAAGACCCTACTATAAAAGTAACAGATGTAATAAGGCATCTATAACAATTGTAAACAACATGTACACATGCATATTTGATTATTAAGCATGCTTAGTTTTCAAATGTTTTAGAGTTTTCAAATTATGTTTAAATAAGTTTATCCAAAGACAAAAAAGAACCACCAACCTTTATTTTTTCTATTTCTGTTTTTGCTGCTTGTTTTGCTTTTCCTATTGCACATCCATAATATCCCTTTATTGGAAAATTATATCAAACATTAGTCTGTATTTTCAATAACACAATTTTTAAAAGTTAATAACTTTAAGCCTCACATATATTAAGAAATGAGAACATCATCTTTATTTTACAAGTCAAAGAGGTTAAATTCTCCCAAACATTGAACTTTATAATACCATGGCCTGACTGAAATAATACATGTACAGGCCATGACAAATCCACTCGCCTGCTCTCATTGGGGAGTAAAAGTTCAGGTCGGGCAAGTAAGATTCTCCAGATCCAAATGATGTTTCTCTAAATATTTAACATAAATGAAGTCATTCGGTAAAAAACAGAAGACACCATTTCAAACTTAATACCATCAACCGGAAACTGACCTTATGACTTAGTATAAAACTTTACCAAATGTGTATGATGAATTGATTCCTTACAAACAGCAGCATTCGGCAATGTTTTATAACTTATGCATTCAGTAATGTTTTATACTTAGCCATGAAGTTGATATTTTGATGCCTAATATTTAAGCCGAGTGTGTTAAAATTTGAATAGAATAAGTATTCAGGCTATGTTGAAGATTATATAATAAAAATATAAAATTATTATAAACATTAAAGAACAATATGTAATTGAATAAAGCCAATTATACTGATATAGAACAGTAATCAGTAAATTTGAGTTTTGTTTTTCATTGTTACAAACATTTTCTGTCAAAATGCAGGGCGAGTGCATTTTATAAGGGGCAAGTAAATTTGGAAGGTCACTCCCCCGGCCCTAAAAAATCATCGAGGCCCGATGTATTACATTTTACATAATGTCCAGTGAAACATTTGTGCAAGTCCTGAATATTATGAGAATCACTCATATGCCTTAAAGTTTTTACGAAATTCCATAAACTAATGGTAAAGGTTTCAACAGTAGAGAATTTTAAATGACACTTTTATCAAGTAATAATTATTGTTCAATGCAAATATACAATTGTTGAGACTCAACAACATGGTCACCTAGGCAGCAGACTGTTTAAAGATAAAATCACTTACAAATGAGACACCTGATGGATCTATAACGTACATCTCTGGACCATCAGTGGGATCATATGAACCCATTAAACAACTGACACCAAATGGTCTTACTGAACTGTATAATGTGTAGGCATGTACAAACATTGATACTCTGTCTGTTAGATGCTGGAAAATATCATATGATAACCATAATGAATAATAAAAATCTGAATTCTAAATAAATTTGATTACATAATGGTTAAATGTTTTATTCTGGGGTTCCAAATGTTCAGGTTTTGGTTAAATTTCATATGTTTGTATTATTGTATACATTATTTATGCAGTATGCAAGACAATTCTTGAATTACAGTTCATATGATATTTCTAACAAAAGTAATACAAAATTCATAATTCTTACATAAGTAATACAAACTACTCAATTTCTTAACTAAACATTTTTTTATGCATCAGCATTCAAACTGCATTTTGAACTGGTCACTATAAAGGGGTTTAAATATAAAACAAGAGTTGTCAGTATGGCAACTTGCCTGATTATTCTCAGTGCCTGGATAATGTAGACATTAAATTTTTTTAAGTTCAAAAGGGGCCAAAATTCTGTCATTATGCTCTCAAAAAAGTGTGTGAAGTTTCAACCTATTCCTTTCAGTAATTTTGGACATACCAACATACTTAACCAAAGTGTGACACTTTAACGCCTGAGAGAGTGCAATAGCTTTCCCTATTCTTTGAATAATTGAGCTTAAAACTTAATTACAAACAGAACACAGTCTTAAAAGGTATGTTAAATGGCATGGTTCCATACAGATGACATTGACAAATGACTGAAGTAGTTGAAATAATCAAACAAGCAAACTTACTTTAAGTGGTATAGGGGTGCCATAATTTGATCTGTAACTTGCAGCTTCTTCTCGAGCAGTTTCTACAATCTGCCTTGCATCAGCTAATAACCCTGCAACAGCCTGTATCAAAATACGTAATTTAATATATCAACAAAGACACTTTTTAAAATTAAAAGAAATCAGATATCATGAAAATCATTTCAGAATGTCAGAATGCCCTAAAATTTATTTACTTCTTATCCACAAAATAAATAAATAAATGAAATAGATGACAATGCATAATATACTTTAACATACATTCAAAAATGTATAAAGCAAAAGTAAAAGTTAGACCTGGTTACCAAAGTAAAATTTTTGTTTTCTGTCTATAAAAACCATCCAATTTCAAAAGCATTTTGATTTACACTGAGTAAATTATTTTATCCTTACCATTCCTATATGTCTATCAATATTAAAAATTCTTTTATTGGCCCCTGTTTCATAAAGTTTTGAAGTTACAAGCTTCTCAACTCCAAATACAATCCCATCCTTTCCTCTTATTCCAATGGCAGTTCTGAAAAACATAAAAATTTTCACTGCAGTGAATTTGTTTACGAATGATTTAGCTTGTAACAGGAAGATGCAAATGCATCAGGAAAGACCATGCCATGACTGGGATTCAAATTTGTGGCCACCCATTTATAAGCAAAAGTAACAATGATCTAGACCACCGAGTCAAAGAATCAATTCCCTAACACAGTTGTCAGAGGGTGTACTTATAAAGATGATGGTAGGTATGAACTTTATAAAACTTTGAAACTTTTGTGTAATTGACATTCCGCCAAAGAAGGGATCGCTCCCCCCACTGATTCATGTGACACGCCCACTGATTCACGTGATCCAGTCAGTAAGAACCTTAGACATAATACGGTTTTATTTGATGGTTTTATTGATTTTATTGAATAGTATTATTCAATGTATAATGTATTATGGTATAGCAAAAAATATCTGCATTTATGTATTAATGATGCATGAAACGTTTAACAAAGATGGTGTTATTTCTTGTTGACTTCAATGAAAATCTTAAACTGACAGAATGTCATTATATATTACAAATTCAAAGAGATATTATGTGTAGAAAAGTATATGATTATGTCATGATTTAATTTTGAAATTGAAGTAACAAAACAAAAACAGTAAAATTATATTAGTGACACCATAAAATTTAAAATTTCCATACATGTATGTAGAAATTTACTGTCTTTTTGTATAATAAACTAACTTACTTGATCTGTCCATACGTATATTTGGTAACTTAATTAATAATATACCGATTAAATAGCTTTAAATTGACAGAAAATTAAAATTATTTCAATCTTAATTACTTCTACACCTTTGTCATAGACAGATAACTTGTCTAAGGAAAATGGGGGACTTTGCAGGCATCTTAGCATGAAACTGATAATGATCGCTGATTGGCTTATCGGTAAGACGTTTGTCAGGTTGATTGACAGGCAGCGTAATGTCAATTAGGTATTCAATTGCTAGTAAATAAGAATTGAAATCAACAAGTATTAAAGTGAAATCTATTTGAAAGTACCTACCCACTGTTTTCTACTGCTTTCAAAGCATACTCAACTTGGAATACTCTGCCATCTGGTGAAAATTGTGAGGCGGACAAATCATACTGCAGAAAAAACACAAAATTATATATCAAACATGTTTTAATGTAATGTTTAACCTTTCAAGATATACTATGCTTATCTTTGAGTAAAATACTTTTATTTCAGAAACTTATTGAAAACTAGGAAATTCTAACTGAATATGTCTTATTTGAATAAGACAATGCATAAAGTATGTTTGGGAAACTTACTGCATCAATTACTGGTCAAGTTAGTTTGGTCCTTTGTAAAAGAAACAAAAAACTGCCTTTTTATATTATATTTTATTATTTTATGACACTCTCATGTGCACTCTCTGTGTGCAAGACGTTTATTTGACTTTTTACAAATAATGTCCTTTACTTTAGCGTCACAAACAAGCTACACTCCCTTATGCCTCGAAATTTTGAACTTAACATAAAGATCATGAGATGCTAGGTTATCCCTTTTCTACAAGATTCAACATGGTCTGGCTGCTATCTCCATAGCAAAATATGTGACATCCCTCCCCTAAACATCAAGCCATGGTCATGATGCCCATCCCCTTAGTATGTTAACTTATTGAAACTGTTGAACTTCAGACTATTATAAATTCTCCTTCTTTCCTAGGAGTCCCAAGGTTGTATACCATTGGAACCTACCTCCTACAGTTGCCCTACTCCCTACACCACAGCAGCCATAGGTAGCATTGAACATGTCCCACCCTAGTTTTCAAGTCACTACTGGTCAGGGACCACCAAACGGACACTTTTTAAACATTTTTCCATAGTTTGTTTATTTCTGATTATGTTGATTATAAGAATCTTACACTGGTTGCCGGTACAGACCGGAATATCTAGCTCGAGGGTAATTGTTTATGGCGGTAATGAGGCTCTGCCGACTTTCTGCTAAACAGTTACCTGAGAGCTAGATATTCCCTTCTGTACCGAAAGCCAGTGTTTGATTATTTTTCTTGCATATTACTGTAATAATTACATATCAATTATTTTCAAAACAGAAATTACAAAAAAACTGATATTTTCATTAGGCAATTTTTTCTTACAGAAGCATATGAACTTACAGACTTCATTCATAACGGTAAAATGACGTCATCGGTAGAACGCAATTCATTCATAAAAGGCGCACAGCAATGACGTCATTTAAAGCATGCGACTTGTCTTACCTGGGGTGTGTAAGACAGGGTTTTCTAGCACCGGAGTTAACGAGAGATAATCCTGTCTGATATGCAAGAAACTTATATCTGAGGCCTGTGAAGGAGGGTATCAAAATTACCTAAATTGTCTACTCTACAGTACCATGTGTTCACATGGATTGGTTGTAACAAGTTTTCATTTCCAAAATCATTGAAAATGATTTCATTACCAAAAATGTAACAATAATTTAAGAAAACATCTTTCCACAATTGTAAATCAGTCCATATATTAAGTATGTGGTTCCAACAATAAAGAATGATAAAACAAACCAATATATTAATAAATTGAAAAGTGTGCCGAGTTGACCTGTGCCAAGTTTGAACAGAGCCAAGCTTACTTGGGCTGAGTACTTTTTTGGGCTGAGCTGGCCAATTTGTCTCCAACCAGTACTTTTTAACATTCAATATTGAATTCTTCTTTTATCCTCTTTTAGTTTTAAACAACTCTTTTTAATTTTCTTGCGATTTTGACGCATAGCCATGTCTTTTTTCCACGAGGAGATTGACATCTTGATCTTGATCTGTATACGGTGTGACGTCAAAGACATTATTTACACCGGCCTTTGCAATTATCAAGCGGCTTAGGGCAACATGATACCCTCTCTAATGATTTTTGCGAATGAACTGGATGTGTCCTTAAGCGTGTTTACATTATTTATCAAAAGGTCTGGAGGTAGAGAGTTCCATTCTTTCACAGTATTTGGGAAAAAACTATACTTTAGCACATCAGTACGCGACTGGATACGTAAGAAATGTTGACTATGTTGGTTCTTGGTAGATCTTTTACTACGTTGTAAAATATTTATATTTATATGTGCTTGTTTGTTTACACCTTTATTCATTAATATGAGTCTATTTTGTTGTCTTCGTTCCTTAAGGGATGGTAGATTTAGTTCTTTCAAAAGGGTTGTCATAGTACCAGGTTCGTAATTATAATTTGATGTTATAAATCTAACTGCTCTCTTTTGAACACTTTCTAGTTTTTCTTGTAGATAAAGTTGATGTGGGTCCCATGCTGCACTACAATTTTCTAAGACTGGTCTAATAAGTCCTTTATATGCTTGTAATTTAACTTCTAGCGGGCAAGTTGATAGATTTCTTTTCAAAAGTCCCAGAGTTTTGTATGCTTTGTTACAGATTTCTTCCACATGTTTTCCCCAGTGCAAGTTACTTCTTATATGGACACCAAGATATTTAATAGATTGTAGAAATTCTAGTTTTGTCCCTTGTAATGTATATTCATAGGAAATTATTTTCCTTTTTCTAGTTAGAGTCATCATGTTGCATTTTACTGGTTGAAACCTCATACCCCAATTTGTTGCCCACTGTCCTAGCTTGTTTATATCCTCTTGTAAAATTTCGCAGTCTTTTTCACTTAATATTTCTCTGTAACAGACGCAATCGTCAGCGAATAACTTTATGTTTGACGAAATATTGTCCGAAATGTCATTTATATGAACCAGGAATAATATCGGCCCTAACACCGTACCTTGTGGAACACCGGATTTTACTGATGAAGTGCTAGATTTGCTACCGTTCACTACAACACACTGTGTTCTCTGTGTAAGGAAAGAGTCTATCCATAACAAGATGTTTTGAGATATTCCATATTTTTTCAGTTTACTTTTCAATAGTTCATGAGGTACTGTGTCGAACGCTTTTTCGAAATCAAGAATAAATATATCTGTTTGTTTGTTGTTATCTATAGATGTAGCCCAGTCATGGATGACATTTACAAGCTGTGTTTCGCAACTATGATGTTTTCTAAATGCGTGTTGACGATTATTCAAAATGCCGTTTTGTTCTAAATGTTGCATGAGGTTGGAACAAATTATATGTTCTAACAATTTACAAGTAATGCATGTCAGCGACACAGGTCTGTAGTTACTTGGAATGGATCTATCGTTCTTTTTGAACAATGGGCAAATGTTCGCATTCTTCCAGTCTTCTGGAATTAATCCGCGATCAATTGACTGTTGAAAGAAGTGGGCTAGGATTTCTGATATTTCATATGAAAGTTCTTTGAGTATTCTAGGGTGGATGTTATCAGGACCCATTGCTTTACTCGGATTGACATTTTTTAGAATGTTTTCAACACCTTTTTTAGTAACTATAATTTTCTTCATGGTTTCAGTAGAAGGTTTGGAGTACGGAACAGAACTGTAAATTGTCTCTGTAAAAACACTAGTAAATTGGCGATTAAGTGTTTCGGCTTTATCTATGTCTGTTTCGGCGGATTTACCGTTTCCTGACTTTAGGGGTGGTATACCTTGCGAGTCTTTCTTTTGACTACTTATATATTTCCAAAAGGGTTTTGAGTCCTGTTTGATGTCACCAATGAGATCGTTAACAAACATACTGTGTGCTGATTTCAATTCATTATTTATAGAACTTCTTAGAATCTTCCATCTTTGTTTAATCTTTGAGTTGCCAGTTTTTTTATACAAAGCATGTGTGCGGTTTCTTCTTTTAATCAGACGCTTAATATTATTATTTATCCAAGGTAGAGACTCTTTTCCACCTGACATTTTGCTAGGAATGTTCTTTTCAGATGTACTTATTATAAAATTTTTAAACATATTCCAGTTTTCTTCTACTGATCTTTTGTTTTGGTGACCATTAAAGTATTTGTATTTGGAAAAATTAACAGCATCTTCCTTCATTTGAGTATAGTCACCTTTTGAGTATTTAAAAAGTTTACGTTTTGGCATAGACTTCCTAGGTACATAACAGCTGAATGTTCCCATAATGGCGTCATGGTCACTAAACTGATCTGGAGAGTGAATGTTGCTAAACTGACCAGGTAAAGTTGTTACCAATAAGTCTAAGGTGTTACTTTCTCTAGTTGGAAAAAGAACAAGTTGTTCTGCACTAGCCTCGTTTAAAATGTCTATGAATAATTGGCCTTCACAGTCCGATAAACATGAGTCAGTATCTTTATTTAGTTTAGATGTCCAGTTTATTTTACGGTAGTTGAAGTCACCCAAGATATGGATTGCTGGCTGTATGTATGACTTTCCAAAAGTTTTAATTTTGTCTAATTGTTCCTTTAAAAGATTAATATATTCAATAGGGGCATCATTGGAAGATGGATTGAACAGTCAGAGAGAAAACGTCAGTAAAATAGAGTATAGTCTTGACCGCCTGTTATGTCTGATATGGTAAGTTAGTAATCATGATTAGTCCCCGGGCTCTAAACCAGGAGTTTCTACTCATTCCGCTTTTGTAGTATCGATAACCATGTCATTTTCGGTGGGTGGGGTTTGGTAAACAAAGGGAAAACAACTAATCTCATCAGTGTTTATTAAAGAATTCCTGACGAAAAATTTAACAAGATCAATGCATTATTTTACTTTAAAGAATCTATCATTGTTTACTCACTCCTGTTCCGATGGAACTCATTTTCTTTGAAATTTATCGGTTTTCTGCACAAGTCATGCAACTAAACAAATTTCCACGCATGCGCTGTCTGAAGCCGGTTTGTAAAATACGACATTTTCATTTAACCCGGAAAGTTATATGCGTGTGAACGAATATATACACTGGGAGGTAAATAATATAAATTTTGAACCTAAATTAAAGAAATATCTTTAGAAAGAGACGTTTTGGCATTTCGTAAGTAAATAACGACTTATAAATGTTTACGTGACATTGTACTAAAATATAATTATTATATCAACTGAACATAGATCGATGTATGCTGTAATTAAGTATACAGTACACGTAAACGGTATATATACGTACATGTACCTAATATTATATATATTAAAAATGCATTACAAAATTGTAACTTACAGATATACAAACATGTGTAGTATATCTGTTTTATAATGCTTTGTATAATTATTACCTTGTAAAATGAAAAAAAAATATGTTCTTGTATAAATTCTAAACGCTCATAATGTCATAGTCTACAATCACTTAAATCGTAAAAGATGTTTTATTTGTAGACCATGTTGATGTTGCCTTAAAGAAATCTGGAAACAAAGTGATCCCTCGGAAGCATTAATCACAACAAGATTACAAGAGAACTGCAGACTCTGTTTGATTGAGTCTGTACATGAGGGATAATGAATACGCGCAACATCCCTCACGCACCCTACCACCGTCTTGAGCGGTACTCAATTCTCAACACTCAATAGTGCTGGCATCAATGATCCCGAAGGACCAGAAAAATATAACAACACTGAAGTGAAGTACGGGGCACCTTTTTAAAAGAAACTACTTAAATTAGCACCATAACATTTTGTCCCACACATTTTACTCTGTTTACGCACACTTTTCATGTATGTCAAATATAAAGGTATTCTATGTTACAATCGACCATAAAATTATAGAAACAACGTATTTTCAATGTCTTTTAAATTTTATGAAAATATTTTATAAGATATAGCTTTATTAATTTATATTCTGAATGAAAGATTAAATCATAACCAATTTGACATTTTACATTAGATATTTTGATAACCTTGATGAAAGATAAAATAAATCTTGTGGCATTAATGGCACTGGCCCTAAAATAATAAAAATATGACAACAAAGATCACAAGCGAAGGGTGGCATTCAATCATCAAATCTCCCAACAAATACCAGCAACACGTACAGGACATGGCACCGGCCAGGAGCCAAGCACAACACCACAAATACAGGAGCTGACAAAAGGGATTAAATATATGAATTGACTTTATTAAAAGAGCAATAGCACAAATAATTAATTAAAGCCTTTTTTCAGAAATATTCCAAGAAAAACTGAAACTAGCAAGTGTTATACCTTTATAGTAACAATGTCATAAATGAGCACTGGTTCAGTTTTCGGAAACGGAGACTTCATTCTCGTCAAACGGGTTTCATCCGCTTTATAGCCTTCTGGCTTACGAATATTGATGATGGAAATATACTAGATGCTGTATTTTTACATTTTAAAAGCCTTTGACTTAGTTGACCACAACATTCTTATTCTGCCATTAATAAACTAAAACTTCATCATATTCTTAAAAAAAATATGTACATTTTTTCCAACCTCTCTAACACAAAGCGAATAATTAAAGTAAACAAATATAAATCTGAATGTTTGTCTATTTTATCAGGCGTACCACAACGATCAATCATTATCTATAATTCTCATATAATTTTGTAAATGATATATATCAGTCACTACGAAATCAGAAATTGATATGCATGCAGATGATTAAACATTACACAAGGCTGACAATAGTTTGCAAGAACGAATTTGGAAATTTTCACTTGTGGGTGCTTAAGTTTAAAATAACAATACTGCCTCCTTCCGCCTTACGGGGAAATTGGAGTTCCTTCCATGGCATTTGCATGTTAAATGCATGATAGCCTCTGGTGCATTTTAGGTGCACATTTAAATTACATGTTAGTTCATTTTTTTCTCTCACAAATTAACGACTTAACACATGCAAGCTGGCGTAGGTAATTCTAGTCGATCTCAGAAAAATCATATAATCTTAAGGTTTCTAAGTAGACCTTTATATATATATTTTTTGTATTATTTTTCTTTAAATATGATTATAACAAAATTATATACCTTCTTTTCTATTGCTTAACAAATGATTATTTAAGTGTAATATCATACACCTATGCAATAACAAAACATTTATAAGTAAAACTTATGCAATGATTTTATCAATTAAAGATGTTGTACGAGGAAGATAAGGGGGACACACAACTAATAGTGATATTGAAAATGTTATGAAAGAGTGGCTGCGATATGCTAAAACCGTGTGAAGATGGGAGAACGAAAATAATGTTGTAAAACTTACAACACACAGGCTGAAGATAATTGAAAAAAAACAACACTTACTTTTATACATATAAAATAAACCACTTACTTTTATACATAATATATATATATTGGTTCATTAACAGGAAAAATGAAAATTGCCAATGCCATAGTTACTATGAGATATGTGTTTCTTTGATGTTTAGTTTTCATTACTTAATTGGTTGTTTTACTCAATGATGATGTTAAAGGAATCAAATCAAAAACTTTCTTTTGAGATTTTGACTTTAATGATTGCTTATTTTTTCTGTTTATGTTATAAGCTCTACACTAATAATAAAATGTAGTGAGATATTTTGTGATCTTTTGCATTTATTTTTTATTTAACATGAATTCAATAATAGCTGCAAATAGATTATTGGTATTGTCAGGCTCTAGATCGAGTACAGCTCCACGGTCTGGTCCCCCTATACATGAACTCTCATTGACCAAATAGAGTCCGTCCAAAGAAGGGCTGCTAGGTGGGCCAAACATGACTTCGGCCGTACGTCAAGTGTCACTGACATGTTGACTTCCCTTCAATGGAGGTGCCTTGACCTTCGGCGTATTGACCAACGCCTGGTCATGTTTCACAACATCTTGCATGACCAGGTGGCTATCCCTTTCCCAAAGTATATCATCCCTCTTACAAGATCATCTAGAACATCCCATCACTATGCATTCCAGCAAGTCCAAACAAAAACTGAATACTATAAATATTCATTTTTCCCAAGAACAATAGTCCACTAGAATGCTTAAAATTTTTTTACAACCTGATATCATAAACTTGTCTGGCCCTGAGTTCAGTCTGGCTGTAAGCCGGACTGAACATACGTCTCCCTAAAATACCTATTCTGTTTTTAACCTGTTTTTAAAAATATACTCATTTCCATTACTTTTATATTCTTTTATTTCAGCTCTTTTACTAACATTCTTGTCAGTTGACGCGCGTCAAGTCTAGGTCCTCAGCAGGGGGTTGACTCTAAATTAAGGAAGATAAAGATATGGTGCATTCATTAATTTTAGGACGAATGAAGTGTCAAACGGCAAAAGGGCATAAATTGGCAAGATATCATAATTCTTTGATTAGTCAAACCTTGGGCCAATTGTGATGATTACATCTGACCCAATACAGGATTAATGATTATGATTAAAATTGTGTGGTTGGTCCAACGTTGGACCAGCGATGACTATAAAGATTGTGTGGTTGGCCCTACAAAGTGCCAATGAATATGATAAAATTTGTATAGTTTGTCCAATTTGTTGCCCACTGTCCTAGCTTGTTTATATCCTCTTGTAAAATTTCGCAGTCTTTTTCACTTAATATTTCTCTGTAACAGACGCAATCGTCAGCGAATAACTTTATGTTTGACGAAATATTGTCCGAAATGTCATTTATATGTACTAGGAATAATATCGGCCCTAACACCGTACCTTGTGGAACACCGGATTTTACTGATGAAGTGCTAGATTTGCTACCGTTCACTACAACACACTGTGTTCTCTGTGTAAGGAAAGAGTCTATCCATAACAAGATGTTTTGAGATATTCCATATTTTTTCAGTTTACTTTTCAATAGTTCATGAGGTACTGTGTTTCGAACGCTTTTTCGAAATCAAGAATAAATATATCTGTTTGTTTGTTGTTATCTATAGATGTAGCCCAGTCATGGATGACATTTACAAGCTGTGTTTTCGCAACTATTGATGTTTTCTAAATGCGTGTGACGATTATTCAAAATGCCGTTTTGTCTAAAGTTGCATGAGGTTGGAACAAATTATATGTTCTAAACAATTTACAAGTAATGCATGTCAGCGACACAGGTCTGTAGTTACTTGGAATGGATCTATCGTTCTTTTTGAACAATGGGGCAAATGTTCGCATTCTTCCAGTCTTCTGGAATTAATCCGCGATCAATTGACTGTTGAAAGAAGTGGGCTAGGATTTCTGATATTTCATATGAAAGTTCTTTGAGTATTCTAGGGTGGATGTTATCAGGACCCATTGCTTTACTCGGATTGACATTTTTTTAGAATGTTTTCAACACCTTTTTTAGTAACTATAATTTTCAATTGGTTTTCAGTAGAAGGTTTGGAGTACGGACAAGAACTGTAAATATGTCTCTGTAAAAAACACTAGTAAATTGGCGATTAAGTGTTTCGGGCTTTATCTATGTCTTGTTTCGGCGGATTTACCGTTTCCTGAACTTTAGGGGTGGTATAAACCTTGCGAGTCTTTCTTTTGACTACTTATATATTTCCAAAAGGTTTTGAGTCCTGTTTGATGTCACCAATGAGATCGTTAACAAACATACTGTGTGCTTGATTTCAATTCATTATTTATAGAACTTCTTAGAATCTTCCATCTTTGTTTAATCTTTGAGTTGCCAGTTTTTTTATACAAAGCATGTGTGCGGTTTCTTTCTTTTAATCAGACGCTTAATATTATTATTTATCCAAGTAGAGACTTTTTTCCACCTGACATTTTGCTAGGAATGTTCTTTTCAGATGTACTTATTATAAATTTTTTAAAACATATTCCAGTTTTCTTCTACTGATCTTTTGTTTTTTGGTGACCATTAAAAGTATTTGTATTTGCGAAAAATTAAACAGCATCTTCCTTCATTTGAGTATAGTCACCTTTTGAGTATTTAAAAAGTTTACGTTTTGGCATAGACTTCCTAGGTACATAACAGCTGAATGTTCCCATAATGGCGTTCATGGTCACTAAACTGATCTG